CTGGGAACCCCCTGCCCTGCTAGGGCTGGACCCCAACACAGCTGCAGAACTGATTATCTCCTCTGGTAACCATCACTCCTTTAATGGCTAATTGATCTCATTGTCTCTTTATTAGATAGAACACCCTGAGAAAGAATAATTGTCTTTTTCATCTCTGAAGTCTTAGTTTCTAAAACAGTGACAGACACCTAGGCCAACGTTCTTTGTATTATCCCTCATGGTCTAAAAAATGCATTCTCCAATATCACTTTGGAGACACTAACCATGCAAACTCTCCTGGCTTCTCTCAGGGCTCATCAGCACAACTGGGTTTGGTATCGGTTACCAAACAAGGCAGGTAGAGTAGAAAGGTTTCCAAGTGAGCGGGCGAGCACTGCCGGGGGCCCCATGCTCGCACCATGACAAGGTGCAAGCAAGCAAAGCCCCAGCACATCCACCCAGAGGAGGACTGTGGCGCGAAGCCGCCACCCCAGCCGGCCCCGGGATTCGTAGCCTCAGCAGCGCCGGAGGCGGGGGAGCCGGGTGCTTCAGTGAACTACCCGGGGACTGGTGATGGCATGAATGGGGGTCGAGCGACAGTAAAGAGACCTCATCAGGAGGAGATTCACTTCTGTGAGAAATGCTGCGGAGAGTTCTTCAGCATTTCTGAGTTCTTAGAACATAAAAATTGCACTAAACACCCACCTGTCCTCATCATGAACGACAGCGAGGGGCCGATGCCTTCCGAAGACTTCTCCGGGGCTGGGCTGAGCCACCTGCCACGCAGTCCAAGCATTAAGGACAGTCACAGGGAGAGTGGCAGCAGCTCAGGGGACATGAAGGAGAAGCCAGGGGCGGAGTCTGTCCCGTTCTTAAAGATGGAGCCCCCCTGCCACCCACAGCCCAGGACTTAAGCTATTTACCCAAAGGCAAAGTAGCCAACACTCTTCAAGCACCACCGGGGCACCAAGGTGGCAGTGAATCAGCAGAGCGCGGACACGCTGCCCACCCCCCTACCCGGTGCCAACAGCATCCAGTGGGTCCTGGAGCAGATCCTGTGTCTGCAGCAGCAGCAGCTACAGCAGATCCAGCTCACCGAGCAGATCCGAGTCCAGGTGAACATGTGGGCCGCCCATGCCCTCCACTCCGGCGCAGCGGGAGCCGACACCCTGAAGACCTTAGGCAGCCACACATCCCAGCAGGTCTCTGTAGCTGTGGTTTTGCTCCGCCAGAAAACTAGAAGCCAAGGTCTGTCCCTGGACACCTTGAAACAAGCCAAGCTACCTCACACAAGCAACCCTTCCACCACCAACTCGGTGTCCCCAGGGCTGCTGTCCTTTGCCCTGAGGCCGGATGGGACAAGGGTGCTCCCAAACCGCATCTCCGGTGCTTTGCTACCCCCAACCCCAAGCTCTGTGCTCTTCCAGAGCCCTTTTTCCACACTGGCGTTAGACCCGTCTAAGAAAGGGAAAGGCAAGCCACCCAATGTGTCCCCAGTGGATGTCAAACCCAAAGACAAGGCCACCCACTACAGGCACAAGTGTAAGTACTGTAGCAAGGTTTTTGCGACTAATAGCTCCTTGCAGATCCACCTCCGATCCCATACTGGAGAGAGACCCTTCATGTGCTCTGTCTGTGGCCACCGGTTCACCACCAAGGGCAACCTCAAGGTACACTTTCATCGACACCCCCAGGTGAAGGCGAATCCCCAGCTGTTTA